TGAAAACAAAACGATTAAGGTAAAAGAAATGAAAATAGAGCTATATCATGTTAACAATCTACTATTTCATTTTATTCTTGCCATAAAGTAGAAATTACATACTTGTTTCATTTCACTTTATATTATTGATATATATGTGTTAATAGAATTGAACGTGACTAACATTATTTATATGTTCCAATAAATATAAAGTAATTAAAAAATTATTGCTTGTCAATTCATTTCTCACAGTTCTTCAAAATGCCTTAAAGATATGTTTTGATCCAGGGAGTCCATGACATTAGTGCATAGCTAGTTTGATGACTTTGAGGTCCTCTAAGAGTTGAGCACGGAAGGAAATAGTTATTTAATCACTGCAATGTACTTAAACTATTTAAGATGCCCAAGCGCACAAGTAATCTGCAAACATTGAGCATATGATATGTACTGCCATAAATAAGATGATTATAATGATACATACCTTAATAAAATATGGCTCAACTTAGCGGGAGTTAAGAATAAAATTAGAGCTTCGTGCTGATAACGTATTATAAAATAAAAGTAATGCAATAAAATATAAATAAGAAGAGATAGAAAGAAGGGAGAAGTGTTTTCTTCTTTCACTTTGGTGTATTTTTTCATTGCAATTACATGGCCTTTTATAGACATAAAAATTAAAGATGATGGACATAAAGTAGGAAATTTAATCTTTAAGTTATTCACAACATGGACATCCAATGTAGCATCCAATGTAGTATCCAAAGTAGTATCCAAAGTAGTATCCAATGTACAAATTATTCATAACAATACTAGAATAGTAAGCACTCCATTTTTATCCAAATCCCGTGTTCGAGCTGCGGATATCAAGTCGTTTTTATTAGGAAGTATTTTATTCTTAATGTGGGATTTTCTAGCAAGAATCCAAATTTTATCGAACTTTAATGCGGGGTACAACACACCGAATAAAAAACCAAAAAATAAAGAAATGGATATTTCGGAAAGCAACAATTCCGTGGGCAATTTACAAAAAGACAAACTTTAATTTGTTGTATTAGCTTTGAAATTTGAGATGGAATTAGGTGAAATCTATGTCACATACTCAATCACAAGCCAACAATCATAATATTGAGATGTCCGGCTTATTAGTGATAAAGACTATAAATAATTAGATAAAGATGTCTAAAAATCATCGCAACTTTAGTGGACGGATATATAAATAAAATAGCTAATGAAATTGTGATATTTAGTTCTCTTAGGGGATTTAAACCTGATAAGTTATTAAAAAAAACATCGTAGAGAAAGGAGCTAGAGACTTAAAATATACTCCGTAATTCTCCCAAGTAGTCAATACTTGGATTCATATTGGGAATTGATAAACATAAGACTTTGGAAAAACTATACAATATAGTCTTTCTGAAAAATAATGGCTGGTAATTTATATATTTTTTTATACTAATATATAATACATACATATATATATATTTGGCCAGTAGATATAATTATTTTTGGCCGATCAAATAAATGTGTAACTTGCTCAAAATTTTGGAAAACTACCAGCTATGTCCATTTATAAGTATCTTATTACAAAAATTGGTCAATTCATAAAATATTACAAATATTAGCCAATTAACTATTTGTAGCTAAAACAGGTTAATTTTTTGGTTTTTTTGAGTGGGTGTTATTAGAATAAATTGGGTACGTCTTAAGGAGCTTAATCGTAGTTTTGGGATGATTTAGTAGAGTTTTGAATTGAAAATTCGAAGTAGAAGATGAACATAAAAAAAATGAGATGTGTATCACATATGTATAATAGTTGTATCTAATATGTATAACATGTATATCCATATATACCCATGTGATATATATTTGATACATATGTCGCAGAAGAATTTTTTGAACTCGATTTTAACTACAAATTTTGATACTAAATCAGTCCAAATTACCTCAAATCTTCCTCAAATTTTGTATATTGACTCATTCATATGTTTTCAATGAATTTCAACCATACCCATTGAAAAATATCCTTTTTTGCTTAGATTTTTGGAGTCATATATATGTATGCATTTTATCATCTTATTTGCTACCTCATCCATGAAATTTCCTTTCCGTCTTACATCAAATATTGCTGATCGCGCTTAAAAAATATGGAATGAGATCTTTACATATGATTCTTGGAGAGAAAGAATCTTATTTATTTGGGTTTTTAATTTTTATATATGTTTAACTAGTTTTGGTAAGTCTATGGTTAATAACTAGAGGTTGGTAAGTTGGGACTTATTTGAGATATTTACGTAAGATTCCCCAATTTTGTTGTCTAAACTACAGGCCCAATTTGGTAGATGGGACTGTGGATATAACTGGGCCAAAGAACAGTATGTGAAAGCGTAAACATAGAGAATATGTAATTTTCTGTTTAGGCTTTTGAGTCCATCTTTCTAAATCGAGACCTACCCTAATTCCTAATTTGGAAGGCAACAAATTATCGGACTGAAAGATTCAGTTTGACCCAATTAACCCCTATGTAATACGTCCAATAAACACAATTAAAGTCAATGATCAGTCAGAGTACTTCGCACCAAAGAGATAAAAACCATTATTTTATTAACTTTTGCTTCTAAGTGAATGTTTTAATTGCTGTTGTGGGCAAGGCATCGTTAACAAATGTAATTGTTTCTTTTAAGTTTCCTTTTTGGGAAAAAAAATTATTTTTTTCATTCATCTTACGAATTGTATTTATAGGAAAGAATAGAACAAATTAATTTACGGATTCTTGTTTCCTTAATTGTGCAATCTTCTTGATGAGCATTTACTATATATATAATACAAAATCTTGAATCATTTGATGTATATATGTATAAAACACAATATTGAATCTTCCTATCAAACTTTAACTATTCAACTATTTAGCAGGCATCATTCGTCTCTGCATCGAAAGATCGATTGAGGTATGACTTCCCCTCATTGACTTGTTTTTTTCAGTTTTAATTTTACCCCATTCCTTTTGGTTGTTTTTCTAATTTTAGTTTGAACACGTGAATTGTTGTAGTTATCAATTCACCTTATTATCTATATTATGCTTGAGAAGGTGGTGCTTAGATTGGAGTAGAGTTACAATGAGCTTGTTTCTGAACTTGGATAGCGAGGAACAATTTCGTGGTTATAATGAGAATATATTAACAATTTTAAGAATATATAGTTGATATATTGGAAATAAATGAATAGTACTGTGAAAACATGCTATTTATATAAACAGCGAGGGACAATAGATAGTTCGGACGGGTGAAATTGCAACTCAATCGGATTGCAATGATTGATTCCATAAGTATTTGGGATCAGGAGAGTGGATCCAGCTATATTAAGAATATTATATGTAACTTTTGTGTGTATATATAAAATTCATTTAAAAATTACAAGTTGCACAGTGAAAATTAGTAATTTCTCCAGCCTTCCATGTTCGGTCACCGTTCATCACTCCGAGAAATTCTTCAGATTTTGATTGCTCTGTAGACTTACGTATATAGGGGTTCGGATTGTATAAATAAAACTTCAATTTTTTATTGTTTAATGATCGTGTTTTGATATAACATGTGAAATGACAAACGGGTAACTACTTTTAAGCATGTTTCTCTCAAATATATCAATAATTTATAATTATTTAAAAATTAGTCAATTTTACTCAAACTTCAAGATATCATGTCCTAAAATTCAAAAATTGTATCCAAAAGTTCGAATCTTATGTCCTGAATTTTAAATTAGTAGTTCAGAAATTCAGGACACTTAGTCATGAATTTCAAATTAGCAGCTCAAAAATTCAGGACATTAAGTCCTGAATTTTCGGATTCACGATACTTAATCCTGAAGTTTGGGGTAAATTGTCTAATATTTAAATACATTGTAAATTGTTGATATATTTTAAATAGAGGTCTTAAAAGTGATTATTGCTGCACTTAGCCCGCATAATTATTATTTCCTCCGGTCCATAATAAGTAACCTTTTGACATTTTTATTTTGGTCCAAGTAAGTGTTCTTTTACCTAATTAAGAAGGAATTAATTTTATTTTTTAAAAATTTCCCTTATTTACATATCTCAATGTGTCAAGATAACAATATGCAAATTTTAATTAAAGATAATTTAGTCAATATATTTTTTTTTTCTTTAGGAGTTAGTATTTTTTTAACGGGTGCGCCAAATACCAAAAAATCATTATTATGGACTGGATAGAGTATTGGTGTACTAGTATACTATATCTTAGAATTCATGCACACTTGGTAAAAGAAGGACACAATATAAACAAAAGATTTATACACTACTAAAAATTCGACAAAAATCGATCAAGAAATTGGTCGGTCAAAAAAGGGTTAAAAAACCGACCAAAGTCGGTCGATTTTTCAAAATATTTTATTTTTAATTTTTTTTAAGGAAATCGACCAACTTTGGTCGGTTTTCTTTGACGCAAAAATGCAGGAAACTATTTTTGAGTACCACAAAATTTATTTTTCAAGAAATCGACCAACTTTGGTCGGTTTTTCATTTAAAATAAATTAAAATTAATATTAAAATAACCGACTGATTTCGGCCGGTTAATTTGGCCGGTTATTTTAAAAAACCTACCGATTTCGATCGGTAATTTTTTTTAATTCAATTGACCGACCAAAGTTGATTGATAATTTCTGACCAACTTTGGTCAGTATGCCCTTCCGACATTCAAAGTATCGATCACACGTTAATGATCGCGTTTTGGATGGTTATTGGCCATTACCGACCTACTTTGGTTGATCTTTTTTCGACAATTTTCTGAATTTCTAGTAGTAATATAAACGATATAAACTTATCGAGTTAATTAAGACTTATTCATAAGGTTAAGCTTACATTAGGTTCTGCTTGGGCCTAGGAGACTTTAGTTTGTTTAGAGATGAAAAATTTACAAAATAAATATTCAAAATCCAAAAATCTACAACATTTCAACTTACTTATACAGCTAAATTTAAATTTAAACAAAGATACTTCGTACGACTGACTAAATTACTTGTTATTCTAGTTAATCATAAATCAACAGTAACATAAGTAAATACACCAGCTCCTCCTTAATCCAAAAAAAGTGTGGAACTATAGAAAATCGTATTAGAGAATTCCAAATTACCGAATCTCTAGTTCGAATTAATTAATTAGAGCCAAATTAAACAGCTTCGAGATTGGAGTTATTAAGCCGGCAGCCGTTCGTTGACCTTAAACGAGTTCGTTGCCGACGATATATTCCATTTGGATTCACATGACTTGTTCTGTTTGTGCCCGTTCACACTACGACAAAGTCTGGTTACCTGTACCTCGTCGATATTCTTTTTAAAAATTAATTTTTTTGGGATGAGGAAGACTGCGTATAGAGATGGCAAAGAAAGATAAGGCACTTTTTGATTCTAGAGCACACGAGATGAGCGAGCTCTAGAAGCATCAGATCGTCTGTAATAATTCACTCTTAGTTTAATTTAAGTCTTAGTGTGAACTACCAATCAATTCTTTAATTTAACTACGAAAATTAGTATTAAAGAAAAAATTCAAATATTGGCTAAAACATTGTCAAACGTAACTCAAAACTTTCATACCTAATGTGTACCTTAGAAATATTGTTATGTCCTACACATTCATGTCTCTTAAACTTTTTTTTCTTCTTCTGATATATACGTGTTACATTTATTACCGGTGGTTGGTTAGTTATTATAGTGTTAATTACTTCTCAATTTTCTTCATTCTCTATGTGAGAGTTTGTTATCACATAGAAATTAGAAGTTTCTCTTTTCAAACTATTGAAAGGTACCTTACCCCTTTTCCTTTCCCTACGCTAATGGTATGCTCAATTCAAAGTAGGTTCTCCTCTACTATACGTTAGAAATTCATAATATAGTAGAATAATTCACAAATATAAAAAAAAAAAAAAAGCAACAATAAGGTTTTAAACCTAACAAAATATGTATATAGTTGACTTTGAATTAATGGATGTTCAGTAAATGTGACTTCATGCAACATAACTTAAATCTCTCATTAATGTTTAAAATAGTCACTTTGGTCAGATTTCTACCAAAATTCTAATTAATCAAAAATTTAAAATGTATTATAAAAGAGAGTTGACCAAAATTCCTTTTAAAATAATGTTAACTACTATGGTACAGTCAATATTCTTTTATACTACTAGTACTATATGTATATATTAAGTGGAAATCAATACATATGGGAAAATAGCATATGCTGCATAAGACTGCAACCAAGAAGCCTAATTATTTATCAAATAAACTCCTTTGCTGTTTAATTAGGATGTCAAAGCCTTCGTCACTTCCTCTTCTTCCATGGCTGCCAACATTCTTCCTATTTGCTCACCTCTTTCATGCTTCTCTAGCTGATCTTGGAACAGCAAGCCAGTATAGCCCACCATACACACGTAAGTACTTTCATTAATTCAAACCTCAATTGTTTTTTAAAATTATGGAGCGACATGGACAGTGAGAATTCGTATAGCAGATCTCATATGTTTGCAGGCAGTCCGATGCACTACACTCCCGCTATGCAGGGGGTTCGGGGAAGGGCCAGACCACAAGAGTCTGTTGTAGGCAGTCTTACTCTGCATTTCTGCAAGAAGCCGTTTTCACGGCTCGAATTCGTGACCTCCTGGTCACATGGCAACAACTTTACCAGTACGCCAAGGCTCCCCTTCTGAAGCCTACTAGTTATTTTGTAATATAATGGTACAAAAAAGGACAGCTACATGCACGAAGCATCCTGCGTTCTCGGAGGGGGGAAGGATTGCACCCTAATTAAGGGGTGTAACATATGCAGCCTACCATGACACAAATATTAATAGTTTGATTCCACGGCTCAAACCCTTGACCTATAGGTCATATACATGGAGACAACTTTACCGTTGCTTCAAGGCTCCCCTTCAGTTATTGCAATTGCAGTAAATAATTAATTCCATATTTTTCTTCAACAGCTACTGAATGTTATGGAGGTGATGCAACACAGTTTCCTTCAAGCAACTTCTTTGCAGCAGCAGGGGAAGGGATTTGGGACAATGGAGCTGCTTGTGGTAGACAGTATTTGATCAGTTGCATTAACTCAGTATTACCTAGAGCTTGTAAACATGGAGAAACAATTCAGATCAAGATCGTTGACCGGGCACAAACTGCACTCTCTAAGCCTACTAAGGAAGGCACAACCATGGTTCTTTCCAATGCTGCTCTTGCTGCCATTGCTGATCCTAATGCACCTTCCCTCAATATTGATTTCCGACAGTAAGTACTAATTAATTAATAGCTTCTTAATTATTGCTCAAAACTTAGTTTAATTTAATTTCTGGCCTCTCTCACCAAGGCAGTACCACTCTTTTAATAACGGTTTAAATTGTTGAATATGTACCCGAATGAAGCTGTTATGCTGATAGTATAAAGAATTTTTCGCACCATATAAGATCACTTATTAGATAATTACAGATAGCTTGCTATATGAAACATAAATTGATAGTTTGACATGCTACAACTGGTAAACTACATTGATATTGTAAAAAAAAAAAATACTAATATATTGTTAGTGTATACATTATAATTTCAATTCATGTTGAAAATGTCGTAAATTAGGTTCAGATCAGGGTTGTGGTCTGTTTCTTTCCAGCAGCTCTTTAATTTACATCTTTATTATATAAGTCGTGGATGTAGGAGATTTAATCTTTTTAAGTTTGCTGAAATCATCTTGTTAATTAAACTCATCTTTGAGTAAGACTACGGATTTGACATAGACCTAATGCTGTTATTTTAAATATGTAGTAATGACGTAGGACTTAATCTTATCCCATAAAGATATCACAAGTATTGTCAAGTCATAAAGATAAATTCATGTTTGACTAACTGAATATGGGCATTTTCAAAAGGTTTTATATGAACCATATTATATTAGCTCAGTTGCACATTATTTCAGTACATATCTAAAATGATCAATTCTTGGAATAATCCTTAATTTGAGACAAAGTTTGAACATCTATTGTTATGAAAGATATTAAAAATTTGATTTATGAAGTTATATATTCATGCGTGAGTTCTTGATTCATTAATAAAGAATCATCAGCTTAATTACATTTCCAAAATAAAAAAAATTATTTCTGAAACTGACGGATTGAAAGTGTCTATAATTGCAGGGTCTAGAAATTATTGTTGCTGCAGGATTTGGGAGTCATATTCTCAATATTTCAAGTATCGGAATTTATCTTTGGCATTCTAGAACATGATTCTTTAATTAATGGATCCGTCAGTTTTTATTAGTGATTTGACTAATTATTGATTGATACGATTAACTGCTCTTTTTAGAAAATTAGACACCTCCGGGCTCCGTCTGCAGGCACATGTCTTTATCTTATTTATTATCTTGAGACTAATTGGTTTTTATTAGTATTAAATAAATAGATTCTAGAATACTCATTTATGATAAATGGTCACTGTCCATGTATTCGATGAAGAGTATTTTCCGTAGAAGTTGTGCAAATTTATAAATATGAAATCAGATAGTTTGACATTTCAAATTAGAATATTTTATTTGTCTTCATAAAGGTTGTTCAATCTAATTTTGAACTCTAATTACTTTTTATTTTTCTGAATCAAAATGTATCATTCTCACCTTGAATTATCATTGATTTCTTAATTAATTATGCATTTTTTTCTGTGTGTAAAAGTGCTTCGGATCATAATTCTTTTAGTTAAAATGTTTGAGAAAATTATATTGTAACTAAGAAAAACATTAGTTCTAAATTATACTAATAGTGACACCCTAACAACTTGTTTGGATAGTTGTTATACATGTCGTTTCATAGTGTATCGTACTGATTGTATTGTTTGATGAATACAATGCTTGGATAGATTGTATCGTTCGATGTCATTTCATAATGTCACACACCAAAAATATGAAGAATAAACTTGCGACATTACTAAGAAAAAATAGGATACGAAGTAGAATTATTATATAAAAAGTAGGGTATTGGATAAAAAATAATTAGTTAATAATAAAAAAGGGCAAAATAAGAGAAAAAAATAATGTAACAATGCCACCACACCAAATCCGTCGTTACATAAAGTGACACTTTTCGTCGTTACATAACGGCGGATTTAACGTTATGATACAGTAAAATTTAATTAACAATCAAAACAAATATTTTATTTAAAGTAACAATATAATACGATACAATAGGTAACAACCATCCAAACAACGGTAATGAGTAAGAGGCACAGAAGAGGCAATAAAAAAGTTACAATTTTAGTTTATACCATATATTTATATATTAAATAAGCATAAGAAATAGATTTTGAACCTAGTAAATTGGGCGTGATGTAGTATAATTCCTAATCTAAATTCATAAAGTTCAAATTTTGAATGGTGAATCCGTGGGACGAGGGACTAGACACTTGCAATAACCCAAAGATTTAAAACTATGAAAAGATAAAATTTGGGTTGAGATTGTAGAGAAAATGAAGTTGTTTGACAAGTACATATTTTCCTTTGTTCTTTTTATTTTTTATATTTTTTATATATGGTTGCAAATATGAGAATATATATGAAGGCATTGAAGGCTTCAAATTTCTTGGACTTTGGTGATCTAATTCCAGAAGATGTTGACATAAAATTAGTGCCTACTGGCCGGCTACTGTGCATGCATGGGCAAAGCAAGTTGCCTAATTGGGTACACCTAATTGACGAAGTACTTTTGAATTAAAATGTGCTATTTCAGTTTTGTTTGGTCAGGGCTGAATATGAACGACGAAGTCAACTTCCTTTATCAACCTTCTTGATTTATCCACATTTTGTTTAATGATTAGAGACTCTCTTCTCTATCTTTTAATTCTTGACTTTTCTAGTATTCTAATTTCGTTAAGTGCTAGACACTCTTTTCGTATTCTATATTTCATATCTCTTATACTACTGTTATTTTATTATACATTTTTATGGTACTAATATATTGGCTCCTGTTGCTTTTTTTGAACCGAGGGTCTCCTGGAAACAGCCTCTCTACCCTTCGGGGCAGGGGTAAGGTCTGCGTACATATTACCCTCCCCAGACCCCACTTGTAGAATTATACTGGATCGTTATTGTTGTTGTTGTTATTGTTGTTGTTGTTGTTGTTGTTGTTGTTCTAGGGTAACAAGCAGACGTGCAAGAACGGAGAAGGTATAGAGTGCGATTAGGTAAGCTTATAATTCGATCAAATAATAATTATTTATTTATTTATTTATTTATGCATTTTATAAATAATAAAAAATTATATATAAACTAAGAGCATGTTTGGCCAAGCTGCCAAAAACTACTTATTTTAAAAATTATTTTTTTCAGAAGTTCTTTATCCAAAAGTACTTTTGGAAAAAAATTATTTTGTGTTTGGTCAATTTATTTAAGAAGTACTTTTTGTAATATTTGGTACACAAATTATGTTTGGCTCATCTTTCTAAAAAGTATTTTTACGTGTCAAATTACCAAAAAAATAAAATAAATAATACCAAGGTCTTATAATTATTTTAAAGAGAAATATGAACTTAAATATATATATATATATATATATATATATATATATATATATATATATATATATATCGTAAGAAACTTTTATTGTTTTTTATTTTATTTTATTTAATTAATATATAAAACATAAAGTAAATATACATATTAAATATTTAAATAAATATAACATATATAACATATAATATTATCTAGTATAATTACTTATTGTTTACATGATGATTTCAATAATCAAAATACATCATTCAATATGAATTAGAAGTTTATTCCACAAATTACTATATATTGATATTCTACCATGAAATTGTAAGCAAAGTCACTTACATATGATAACATTTCTCAATAATTTCATCTTTAATTCTGTCACACAATGCCTCCATATTAGTAGAAAACTTGCCTTGCATTTTTAAAGGAATACCACAAGGCCCACCTCCTTTCTCAATCTCTGCAGTAATGTCTTTATTAGCATAATATTTGAAATCCTTATCTGTAGAAGAATGTCGTCAGATGAAATTTTGGATAACTATCGTAGCTATAACAAAATGATTATGAGTGTCAAACTTGAAAAATGACATTGAGCATAAAGTAGAATTATTTTTAAACATATAAAAAATTATAGTTAAGTATGTTTAAATTAAAATACAAAAAGAGTAACTAATTACTAACTACACATAATGCATAATTTTTTTAAAAAAATTAAATTTTAAAAAATAATAATTATTACCTAACCTAACTAACGTTGTCCTGAATTGCCAAGTGACCTATTGTGAGGCTGCAACTTGGCTAATGTGGAGGCTTTTTCTTCTTCTTTAATAATATATAGATATAGATTATGTGATTTGTGTATAGGGTAAAGCATGCTATGCTAAGTGTCCGCTTAAGAGAGTGACACATGGAGCCTAAGGCAAGGGATAGTTAAAACCGAAGGCAATTGTCCCCTTTGTTACCAGAAGGAATGACACTCGTAAAGATACAATAATACCCTCCGCCTAGTGCATTTAATGAAGAATATTCCATAACACTTAATACGCTGCCCGTTACAAAAGAATATGGCATTCATGACTACCGTTACATATCCTTCGATGGCTCTCATAATTGGCATTGAAGAGGGGTTTGATCCTAAGACCGTATTCCCTATGTGTAACTATAAATAATGAGCTCTATTATCATTGTAAGATTTTTTTTTGGCAAACTTATGCTATAATCTATTCAAAGCTAAATACAATTTTATCTTCTTATTTTTTTGTTTTATTATTGCTGTGCCCGGAAGCTTCGCTCCCGGAATTACTACTTCTGCTATTTTATCTTCATATCAAGGCTAAGTGTTATATATTTCTTCAATTCCTTTATTATTCCAAGATCGAACTAATTCACTTATTTAGAAATCACATATAAATTCAACTGTACTGTTTTAAAAGGGTAAATAATTTGGCGCCGACCGTGGGGTCTAGACAGATGTGTAATTAAGTTGATCCCTCCCTCTTTTACTAACATGTTTTGATTATTTGTCATAGTAAAAAATTGCAAAAATGGCAGATAATGGTATTCACAACACACACAATCTTGAGACACAAGGAGACCAGCCTCATCATGAGGATTCAGTCAGCGACACCTACAATGAGGGGAACGGTGCCACGCCGATCCATGACAGGCGGTATCCGCGACATGTTTGAGAGGCGACTCCCTATTATGCTGAAAAGGAGCATGTTGTTGGTGCAGTAAGGTCCTACAAGAGCAACAATTGATCATTCTAGGCCAACTCACACGGTAGGATAAGGTTATGAAACAATTGAAGCACACGTTATCGGGGGCTTCTAATAATGCGAATAGAGGAGGTCTAGTTCTTCCCGGTGCTCCAACAAATCAAACAACGTACAGGGTCGACAACAACACCTTGAGGGGCAAGGTTGGCTCCGATAGGTCTGGGGGAGTCTCAACAACGAGAACGACCCTTACAAAAGTGAACTCTTACGGTTTAAAGGGTCGGACTCAAAGAAGTATTCTCAATTGTCATACAAACCAAGCGTAGCTTCAGAAAAATCCGAAGCGGTTCAAAAAGCCATATGTGATGAAGTATGATAGAACTTCACAGCCCTAGGAGCATATTACCACATATACAACGGCGGTGAAAGGGAATGATTTAGCTACCCACGAGACTGAATCTGTTATGCTAAAGAAATTTGGAGAGACTCTCACGAGGGGAGCCTTGATGTGGTATTTGTTGTTACCCGAACATTCCATAGACTCCTTTGAGATGCTCATGAACTATTTTATTAAGGCTCATGATGGGGCCAGAAAGGTGCAAGCCCGGAAGGCCGACATATTCAGAATTGCACAAGGAGAGTTTGAGTTACTGCGGGAATGTCACGATCCAATTTAGGATTGTGACTGGCGCTTAGGAGAAAGTGCTCCCAAGTAAGCCTCATCGGTAATTTTACAGAAAATCGGACAAAGTTTCCCCTATTTTTGGACCATCCCAAAAACTTTCCTTGTCTCAAATCAACAACTAAACATCCTAATATCATAACAAACAATTGACAACTTGTCAATTAACCAATATAAGTCTCTACCATAACTAAACCACCAACTAACTACTAGAAATACTAATTTATCTCTAACTTTGATAAATGAGAACGATACTCAACATAAGACTATAATAACAAAAGAATACTCACGACACTAAAATAATGACTATGAAGTGACTCTAAGAGTTCAATGAATAGACTATAACAATAAATAAAATCTCTGCCTACGCGAACAAGTGCGAGGCTCACCGAGAAATATCAACCTGTACGCTCTAATTAACGAAATCCACGCCTGCGTCAACTGCTGCCTCTATAAAAAATTAGCGAGGAATGAGTCGCTAGCTCAGTGAGTAATAACACTTAACCACAACCATTTTTATTGGGGATAAGTCAGAAAACATGCTAGTATATCAAACAGAAAATAACATAAAAATGCCATTTAAGAAACAATAAATAATTTTCAGTCTCGTCATACTTTTC